GTGGCAAAAGTTTCCGATTCTCACAGGATCTCTCTCGTCACACCAAACTCTGTGGCCTGGGAGTGGGATTCTCGTCTAAAAATAGGACCAGTCACAACACATCACCACAATAAATCTCTCTCTCAACTCAGTATAATATTCCTATCATGTTCATGATAATGTGCAAAAAGTATTTGCACACTACAGCATGTCTTGTACCATATGGTAATGAAACAATAGTATTTCTGTTGTTTTTCATTTTGTCTTCCACATTTGTCAATAGGAATGTGTACTAAACAGACTATCAGTGATATTTAACTACACACTGTATCCTCATCTAACACCTGTCTGAAAGTAAGTAACAGTTTAATACAGAGCTAGATAACAGCTCCGACATACAACCACTTTGTCAGCTGATCAAAATGTTTTCATCATCATATTTGGCCATGTTTGTTTTCTGTCAATAGCAGTTAAAAGTCTGCAGTGAGTTATGTATGATGACTGGGTTATATAGAAACAGCATGTACATGTTTCTACAAAATACATACTGCTGTGCTATTCTAACTGAGAGAAGAAATTGAAGTTTGGAACTTGTAGATAATGACATATATATACATAGATAGTTTATAGATAAAGTTATGTGTATGGATTGAAGGTTGTGTTTATAATCATTTGTATATAGATGTATGAGTTTCGATGCTAATATTGTGTGTCAATTTGGAATTTCAAAGATAAAAAAATAAGTGTTTGAACTTTTGTATATAAAGATAGTTACAAGTTTGGAGTTATATCAATAATGTATACAAGTTTAGAGTTTGTAGATAATGTGTTTAACACTCCTAACCTCAGCACCACTTATTTATACATATATCTCATTTTGTTTTCCACTTTTAGGTATCTTTGTAAAACTATATGATGTGGTTTTAGTAATAAAATCTAGTATGTTTTAATTTGTTCTAGTTATGTGTACAAATACCAAACATCTCAGTAATACATCTACATATCTGTTTATAAACTACCACACAACACCTCAGTAATGTCTACATATCTGTTTATAAACTACCACACAACACCTCAGTAATGTCTACATCTACATATCTGTTTTATAAACTACCACACAACACCTCAGTAATGTATAACATTTACATATCTGTTTATAAACTACCACACAACACCTCAGTAATACATCTACAGATCTGTTTATAAACTACCACACAACACCTCAGTAATGTCTACATCTACATATATGTATATAAACTACCACACAACACCTCAGTAATGTATAACATCTACATATCTGTTTATAAACTACCACACAACACCTCAGTAATGTATAACATCTACATATCTGTTTATAAACTACCACACAACACCTCAGTAATGTCTACATCTGTTTATAAACTACCACACAACACCTCAGTAATGTATACATCTACATATCTGTTTATAAACTACCACACAACACCTCAGTAATGTCTACATCTACATATCTGTTTTATAAACTACCACACAACACCTCAGTAATGTATAACATCTACATATCTGTTTATAAACTACCACACAACACCTCAGTAATACATTTACATATCTGTTTATAAACTACCACACAACACCTCAGTAATGTATAACATCTACATATCTGTTTATAAACTACCACACAACACCTCAGTAATGTCTACATCTGTTTATAAACTACCACACAACACCTCAGTAATGTATACATCTACATATCTGTTTATAAACTACCACACAACACCTCAGTAATGTATACATCTACATATCTGTTTATAAACTACCACACAACACCTCAGTAATGTCTACATATCTGTTTATAAACTACCACACAACACCTCAGTAATGTCTACATCTACAGATCTGTTTATAAACTACCACACAACACCTCAGTAATGTCTACATCTACATATATGTATATAAACTACCACACAACACCTCAGTAATGTCTACATCTACGTATCTGTTTATAAACTACCACACAACACCTCAGTAATGTATACATCTACATATCTGTATATAAACTACCACACAACACCTCAGTAATGTATACATCTACATATCTGTTTATAAACTACCACACAACACCTCAGTAATGTCTACATCTGTTTATAAACTACCACACAACACCTCAGTAATGTCTACATCTACGTATCTGTTTATAAACTACCACACAACACCTCAGTAATGTATACATCTACATATCTGTGTATAAATTACCACACAACACCTCAGTAATATATACATCTACATATCTGTTTATAAACTACCACACAACACCTCAGTAATGTATAACATCTATATATCTGTTGATAAACTACCACACAACACCTCAGTAATGTCTACATCTGTTTATAAACTACCACACAACACCTCAGTAATGTCTACATCTACATATCTGTTTTATAAACTACCACACAACACCTCAGTAATGTATACATCTACATATCTGTTTATAAACTACCACACAACACCTCAGTAATGTCTACATCTACATATCTGTTTTATAAACTACCACACAACACCTCAGTAATGTATACATCTACATATCTGTTTTATAAACTACCACACAACACCTCAGTAATGTATACATCTACATATCTGTTTATAAACTACCACACAACACCTCAGTAATGTCTACATCTACATATATGTATATAAACTACCACACAACACCTCAGTAATGTCTACATCTACGTATCTGTTTATAAACTACCACACAACACCTCAGTAATGTCTACATCTACATATCTGTATATAAACTACCACACAACACCTCAGTAATGTATACATCTACATATCTGTTTATAAACTACCACACAACACCTCAGTAATGTATACATCTACATATCTGTTTATAAACTACCACACAACACCTCAGTAATGTCTACATCTACATATCTGTATATAAACTACCACACAACACCTCAGTAATGTATACATCTGTTTATAAACTACCACACAACACCTCAGTAATGTATACATCTGTTTATAAACTACCACACAACACCTCAGTAATGTCTACATCTACATATCTGTTTATAAACTACCACACAACACCTCAGTAATGTCTACATCTACATATCTGTATATAAACTACCACACAACACCTCAGTAATGTCTACATATCTGTTTATAATCTACCACACAACACCTCAGTAATGTCTACATCTACATATCTGTTTATAAACTACCACACAACACCTTAGTAATGTATACATCTACATATCTGTTTAGAAACTACCACACAACACCTCAGTAATGTCTACATCTACATATCTGTATATAAACTACCACACAACACCTCAGTAATGTCTACATATCTGTTTATAAACTACCACACAACACCTCAGTAATGTCTACATCTACATATCTGTATATAAACTACCACACAACACCTCAGTAATGTATACATCTACATATCTGTATATAAACTACCACACAACACCTCAGTAATGTATACATCTGTTTATAAACTACCACACAACACCTCAGTAATGTCTACATCTACATATCTGTATATAAACTACCACACAACACCTCAGTAATGTATACATCTGTTTATAAACTACCACACAACACCTCAGTAATGTATACATCTGTTTATAAACTACCACACAACACCTCAGTAATGTATACATCTGTTTATAAACTACCACACAACACCTCAGTAATGTATACATCTGTTTATAAACTACCACACAACACCTCAGTAATGTATACATCTGTTTATAAACTACCACACAACACCTCAGTAATGTATACATCTGTTTATAAACTACCACACAACACCTCAGTAATGTCTACATCTGTTTATAAACTACCACACAACACCTCAGTAATGTATACATCTGTTTATAAACTACCACACAACACCTTAGTAATACATCAACATATCTGTTTATAAACTACCACACAACACCTCAGTAATGTCTTTGTGTTAATTTTGTTACCACACAAAATCCACTTCTCTAACAAGATACAACTATAATAAGTCAACATTAATAAATAGACCACATTTATAATGTGACTACCTCCATAATGAGACCACCTCAATGATTAAACCCCATCTACCATGATACATTCCCTACAAAGGGACCACATCTATAATAACATTTATGATGAGATGATGCCTATAATATGTCAACCTCTATAATAAGACCACATCTTTGATGAGACCACCTCAATAGTGAGACCATATCAATATTTAGACCACCTCTGTAAAGAGACCACTTCTATAAAGGGACCCTATTTATCATAAGATATCATTGTTTTATAAAACCATATCTATAAAGACACCACCTGTATAATAAGACCACCTCTCTAATGAGACAACCTCTCTAATAAGACGTCTATAAGGTACCATATCTACAATGTATAATAAGACCACCTCTCTAGTAAGATGTCTATAAGGTACCATATCTACAATGTATAATAAGAGACCACATCTGTAAAAAGACCACCTCTGTGAGGAGTCCACATGAGTTCAAGTTAACTACATTGATAAAAGGACCACCTTAAGGGATTTTTTGGAGTTTTTCTATTTAAGGTTTTTGTATAGAGGTCATGTATTTTTCACTTTATTTAACCCTTCATTGTCAATCTGACTTCTGAGAGGAACACAGTGGCATCCAAATGATACTATAAGTAAGCACAATGGGAGTCAATATAATAATACAACTGTATGATTTCACTTTTAGAAAACGTCAGATTAAAAGGGCTGTACTGTATAGTGAAGTGGTATCCACACTTTTCTGTTTCTTTGTTCTTATTCTCTTCAATCTAAACATGCTTTCTATTTTTATTTTCAAACATTGTGTGATGATAACAAAATTTACAAATCTTCACTAATTGAAGATTTGTTAACATGATTTCACATTATTACTTTTGAGTATCAAATTTCTATATTCCTGTCCAGCTTTGATTTTTGATAAAAATGACACCAATTACCTCCCCTGTTATTGATTATTTCCCTTACCGGCCTCTGTTTTATCTCCCCTCTAGGTGGGATGAGTCCGGGGGGAGAGGAGGACCACACTCTGGGTTTGGAGATTGGACCAGTGCGGACTGTGAAGAGATACCCTTGTTCTGCTTGCCAGAAGATTTGCAAGACACCAGAAGATCTTGTCCGACACCAGGCCATTCACCAAAGCCCAATAATTGTTTGTCGGATTTGTGAAAATCAGGCCTTTCCTACACCACAAACCCTGAAGGATCATTTGATCCAGAATCATGCCACAGAATTTACTCACTTCTGTTTTCAGTGTGGTAAGGGCTTCAAGTCTGATGCAGGCATCAAGGACCATCAAAAGGTATACCACGTGACCTCGTTGGAATGCCCAGTGTGTGAGGTATGTGGCAAGGCATTTGCCCTACGGAACCGTCTAGTGGTACACATGAGAAGCCATTCCCATCAGCGTCCATTTATCTGCCCTCACTGTGGCAAGGCCTACAAACATAAACATGGATTAAAGACCCACATCCAGACAAGTTGTCTCCCCTCTATGGGTGCTTCTTACAATCCAAGTGATCCCCATTGAGTTACATGGTAGGTAGTTCCATGTTGTGTCCGACTTACATGTCAATGTTACAAGTTACAGTAGGAATATTCCCAGCCTTCATCTGTTGTATCTATTGTTATTGTCTCATCTGTCCAAGAGTGCCACACGGATGATCTGTAAACAGAGGAATTATAGCAACAGAGATGAACAAGTCTAGAGAATTGTTTGGAGATTAACTAGACTAAAGTGTGATGGAAAACTTATTATATTGGGTTCTAAATTTACCATATTGATGTCCTTTAATGGCTGATGTCTAGTGATGATGTCAATAACACACTAAAACATTTTGGTAAGACCATGTGTTTTGGGGTTTGTAAGGTGATATGTAAAATCACAATTCTATGTACATTAATTTAAGTGATACCTTTAACAGGTGTAAAAGTCATAACATAGTTATACAATATGTATTACAAGTCATACAATATGTATTACATACAGGTCATACAATAGGTATTACATACAAGTCATACAATAGGTATTACATACAAGTCATACAATAGGTATTACATACAAGTCATACAATAGGTATTACAAGTCATACAATAGGTATTACATACAAGTCATACAATAGGTATTACATACAAATCATACAATAGATATTCCAAGTCATACAATAGGTATTACATACAAGTCATACAATAGGTATTACATCTAAGTCATACAATCCAAGTCATACAATAGGTATTACATACAAGTCATACAATAGGTATTATATCTAAGTCATACAATCCAAGTCATACAATAGGTATTACATACAAATCATACAATAGGTATTACATCCAAGTCATAAAATAGGTATTACATACAAGTCATACAATAGGTATTACATACAAGTCATACAATAGGTATTACAACAAGTCATACAATAGTTATTACATACAAGTCATACAATAGGTATTACATACAAGTCATACAATAGATATTAGGTATTACATACAAGTCATACAATAGGTATTACATACAAGTCATACAATAGGTATTACATCTAAGTCATATACAATCCAAGTCATACAATAGGTATTACATACAAGTCATACAATAGGTATTACATACAAATCATACAATAATGATTACATACAAGTCATGAAAGACAGTATTATGTACAAATCATACAATAGGTATTACATACAAGTCATACAATAGGTATTACATACAAGTCATACAATAGGTATTACATACAAGTCATACAATAGGTATTACATACAAGTCATACAATAGGTATTACATACAAGTCATACAATAGGTATTACATACAAGTCATACAATAGGTATTACATACAAGTCATACAATAGGTATCACATACAAGTCATACAATAGTTATTACATACAAGTCATACAATAGGTATTACATACAAGTCATACAATAGGTATTGCATACAAGTCATACAATAGGTATTACATACAAGTCATACAATAGGTATTACATACAAGTCATACAATAGGTATTACATACAAGTCATACAATAGGTATTGCATACAAGTCATACAATAGGCGTTACATACAAGTCATACAGTAAGTATTACATACAAGTCATACAATAGGTATTACATACAAGTCATACAATAGGTATTACATACAAGTCATACAATAGGTATTACATCCAAGTCATACAATAGGTATTACATACAGGTCATACAATAGGTATTACATCCAAGTCATACAATAGGTATTACATACAAGTCATACAATAGGTGTTACATACAAGTCATACAATAGGTATTACATACAAGTCATACAATAGGTATTACATACAAGTCATACAATAGGTATTACATACAAGTCATGTAAGACAGTATTATGTACAAGTCCTTCAATAAGTATTACCTACAGGTTCTGCAATATGTGTTATATACCAGTCATGCAATTAGTATTATATACAAGTTCTACAATAAGTATGACATATTATGTATATCTTCCAAACATTATTATGGGGTGTTTTGTTACTTGTTGGACCTGTCCAGGGTACCAATGCTAGACCTGTCCAGGGTACCAATGCTAGACCTGTCCAGTGTACAAGTGCTGGACCTGTTCAGTGTACTAGTGCTGGACCTGTCCAGGGTACCAATGCTAGACCTATCCAGGGTACCAATGCTAGACCTGTCCAGGGTACCAATGCTAGACCTGTCCAGTGTACAAGTGCTGGACCTGTTCAGTGTACTAGTGCTGGACCTGTCCAGGGTACCAATGCTAGACCTATCCAGGGTACCAATGCTAGACCTGTCCAGGGTACCAATGCTAGACCTGTCCAGTGTAGTAGTGCTGGACCTGTTCAATGTACTAGTGCTGGACCTGTCCAGGGTACCAATGCTAGACCTGTCCAGGGTACCAATGCTAGACCTGTCCAGTGTACTAGTGCTGGACCTGTTCAGTGTACTAGTGCTAGACCTGTCCAGGGTACCAATGCTAGACCTGTCCAGGGTACCAATGCTAGACCTGTCCAGTGTAGTAGTGCTGGACCTGTTCAGTGTACTAGTGCTGGACCTGTCCAGGGTACCAATGCTAGACCTGTCCAGGGTACCAATGCTAGACCTGTCCAGTGTACTAGTGCTGGACCTGTTCAGTGTACTAGTGCTGGACCTGTCCAGGGTACCAATGCTAGACCTGTCCAGTGTACTAGTGCTGGACCTGTCCAGGGTACCAATGCTAGACCTGTCCAGGGTACCAATGCTAGACCTGTCCAGTGTACTAGTGCTGGACCTGTTCAGTGTACTAGTGCTGGACCTGTCCAGAGTACCAATGCTAGACCTGTCCAGTGTACTAGTGCTGGACCTGTCCAGGGTACCAATGCTAGACCTGTCCAGTGTATAGTGCTGGACCTGTTCAGTGTACTAGTGCTGGACCTGTTCAGTGTACTAGTGCTGGACCTGTCCAGGGTACCAATGCTAGACCTGTCCTGTGTACTAGTGCTGGACCTGTCCAGGGTACCAATGCTAGACCTGTCCAGTGTATAGTGCTGGACCTGTTCAGTGTACTAGTGCTGGACCTGTTCAGTGTACTAGTGCTGGACCTGTCCAGGGTACCAATGCTAGACCTGTTCAGTGTACTAGTGCTGGACCTGTCCAGGGTACCAATGCTAGACCTGTCCAGGGTACCAATGCTAGACCTGTCCAGTGTACTAGTGCTGGACCTGTCCAGTGTATAGTGCTGGACCTGTTCAGTGTACTAGTACTGGACCTGTTCAGTGTACCAGTGTACTAGTACTGGACCTGTTCAGTGTACCAGTGTACCAGTGCTGGACCTGTCCAGTGTACCAGTGCTGGACCTGTTCAGTGTACCAGTGCTGGACCTGTTCAGTGTACCAGTGCTGAACCTTTTTAGTGTACCAGTGCTGGACCTGTCCAGGGTACCAATGCTAGACCTGTCCAGTGTACTAGCACTGGACCTGTTCAGTGTACCAGTGTACCAGTGCTGGACTTGTCCAGTGTACTAGTACTGGACCTTTTCAGTGTACCAGTGCTGGACCTTTTCAGTGTACCAGTGCTGGACCTGTCCAGTGTACCAGTGCTGGACCTGTCCAGTGTACCAGTGCCGGACCTTTTCAGTGTACCAGTGCCAGACCTGTCCAGTGTACCAGTGTACTAGTACTGGACCTGTCCAGGGTACCAGTGCTGGACCTGTCCAGTGTACTAGTACTGGACCTGTTCAGTGTACCAGTGCTGGACCTGTCCAGTGTACCAGTGCTGGACCTGTCCTGTGTACTAGTGCTGGACCTGTCCAGGGTACCAATGCTAGACCTGTCCAGTGTATAGTGCTGGACCTGTTCAGTGTACCAGTACTGGACCTGTTCAGTGTACTAGTACTGGACCTTTTCAGTGTACCAGTGCTGGACCTGTCCAGTGTACTAGTGCTTGACCTGTCCAGGGTACCAATGTACCAGTGCTGGACCTGTTCAGTGTACTAGTGCTGGACCTGTTCAGTGCTGGACCTGTTCAGTGTACTAGTGCTGGACCTGTCCAGTGTACCAGTGCTGGACCTGTTCAGTGTACCAATGCTGGACCTGTCCAGTGTACTAGTGCTGGACCTGTTCAGTGTACCAATGCTGGACCTGTCCAGTGTACCAGTGCTGGACCTGTCCAGTGTACCAGTGCTGGACCTTTTTAGTGTACCAGTGTACTAGTACTGGACCTGTTCAGTGTACCAGTGCTGGACCTGTTCAGTGTACTATTGGACCTGTTCAGTGTACCAGTGTACCAGTGCTGGACCTGTTCAGTGTACCAGTGCCGGACCTGTTCATTCACATTTCAGTTTTCTGATAAATATCTTAATTTTTACAAAAGTTGTAAGAAATTTCTGATGTAGTTATAATTGAGGTTGTGACCTGGCCTACTGGTCATTAATTATCTGGAAGAATCTCAGCTATCACAATAAGGTAGGTAAGGGAGATATATAATATGTATGTATTCAGTCTCACAACTTTTTTCGAAAGAGTAGTAGAGAGATTTTTCTGTATGTTTTGGTAGATTGTTAAGAAAGAGAGCTACCAGTAAAATGTGGTAGGAAATTCATGTTTGATCCTAATGATGTCAGATATTGACTATCAGTGAACGGTTTCCTGTTTGATCCTAATGATGTCAGATATTGACTATCAGTGAACGGTTTCCTGTTTGATCCTAATGATGTCAGATATTGACTATCAGTGAACGGTTTCCTGTTTGATCCTAATGATGTCAGATATTGACTATCAGTGAACGGTTTCCTGTTTGATCCTAATGATGTCAGATATTGACTATCAGTGAACGGTTTCCTGTTTGATCCTAATGATGTCAGATATTGACTATCAGTGAACGGTTTCCTGTTTGATCCTAATGATGTCAGATATTGACTATCAGTGAACGGTTTCCTGTTTGATCCTAATGATGTCAGATATTGACTATCAGTGAACGGTTTCCTGTTTGATCCTAATGATGTCAGATATTGACTATCAGTGAACGGTTTCCTGTTTGATCCTAATGATGTCAGATATTGACTATCAGTGAACGGTTTCCTGTTTGATCCTAATGATGTCAGATATTGACTATCAGTGAACGGTTTCCTGTTTGATCCTAATGATGTCAGATATTGACTATCAGTGAACGGTTTCCTGTTTGATCCTAATGATGTCAGATATTGACTATCAGTGAACGGTTTCCTGTTTGATCCTAATGATGTCAGATATTGACTATCAGTGAACCGTTATGTTTCTGATTTACTGTAATGATTCTTACTGTTAAGAATGCTCAGATTAATGTCACAAAGAAAATTATATCTCCTGTTCAGCATACAATGAGGCAGAAGTCTCTCATCCCAGTCTGTTACTTTACAGATGTTGGTTGAGCAGAAAATTTTGGGGAAAGTATTTACACCTGTTTAAATGCTTTAAAAATGGAATGAATTTTAAAGATTGTTCTGATCATCGTAAGATAAACTCGCTTCTAATTGTACATATGTGACTTGCAGGTACATATTGTAAACTTGTAAAACAATCAATTATACTATACAGATACATACTTCATATTTACTGTAGATAGACCTTAAGTATATAAATAGATGTATAAACTCCATATAACTTTGACATAAGCTGTGTATATAGAAGTTTGACAACATTATTTTAAGTTATTTAAGCTAAGTATATTAAAGCTTTATAATATTTTCATAAGTTATTATAAGCTGTATATAAAGAAATGTTGTTTTGACCTCATTCTAGCCTGCGGTTCTCTTTTACAGTCGGGGCTGATGAGGACGTGAAGAGTGCACCTGATGTCTCAGTGGAAGAAACCGAATCAGTGGCTGAGATGTACTTCTGTCCAATATGTAACGTGCCATTCAAATCACAGAAACGCTTGGCAAACCATGTCCTGTTCCACAAGGAGACACTGCATCGTTGTGCTCTGTGTGACATTCGCTTTACCAGCCGAGAAACACTCAAAAATCACATGCTAGGTATGCATGGCAACCAGTTTTACCATTTCTGTTTTGATTGTGGTAAAGCTTTCAAATCTTACTCTGGCTTCAACGACCACAACAAGACAAACCACGGCACAGGTGCCCACAAATGTGATGTCTGTGGCAAATCATTCTCCTGTAACAGCCGTCTACTCGTCCATAAACGCAGCCACTCAAATGAGCGACCATTTGTGTGCAATAGGTGTGGGCGCCGATACAAACATAAAAAGCCGTATCGGGACCATGTATGTCTCTACCAACAGCCCAATGATGCCTCAGATCAGGACATTTTCATCAAATACTGAACATGTTCAATTTGTCAAGTGATTAGACGTTGTAAGGTTTTCAAGTCTGTCCCCAGATTTTACGTCAAGGTCATTGTTTTTATTTAACATTACTTAGTAGTGAAGGATATGACCAGTTATGACTCAAATTTAGATCTTGTTTCTCCAAATTCACAAAAGTCATTCCAAACACATGTTTGTGTAATTGTCAGTTACCTGGACGTTGGATTGGGAAATTCAGATGTCCCTATTACAGCTATGCAGGTCAACACAACAACATTTGGTAATTTCTGTACAAAGTTTGTCTAAAAGTCGGAAAAGGAAAAGATTTGAGTTGATTAAGAACTAATTTTTTTTTTTTTTCTGTGAAATCTAAACAAAACATATGTGAAAATGTAAACATATATGTATATATTATTTGTATGATGGGAACTATTAAGTGATATATAAAATATTCATCAGAGATAATTGCAGACCACAATTTTTCTCCGTAACCTATATATTGTATATAGGTATAACATATAAATATTAGTTTGTTGTATATGTTTAAAAGTGAAGAAAAAACAATTGGTTTGTGTGTCCCCTCACCAGGTCATCCTTGTAGAGAGCTTGGCTTGTGTGTCTCCCCTCACCAGGTCATCCTTGTAGAGAGCTTGGCTTGTGTGTCTCCCCTCTCATGTCATCCTGATGTAGAGCTTGGCTTGTGTGTCTCCTCTCTCTATGTCATCCTGAGGTAGAGCTTGGCTTGTGTGTCTCCCCTCTCATGTCATCCTGGTGTAGAGAGCTTGGCTTGTGTGTCTCCTCTCACTATGTCATCCTGGTGTAGAGCTTGGCTTGTGTGTCTCCTCTCACTATGTCATCCTGGTGTAGAGCTTGGCTTGTGTGTCTCCCCTCACTATGTCATCCTGGTGTAGAGAGCTTGGCTTGTGTGTCTCCCCTCTCATGTCATCCAGGTGTAGAATTTGACTGGTGTGTCTCCCCTCACCATGTCATCCAGGTGTAGAATTTGACCGGTGTGTCTCCTCTCACTACTTCATCCTGATATAGAGCGTTGCTTTTTTTTATTTCAGAATGTTTCATTTTCACGATTTTACTAATAAAAGGAATTGGGCAACAGCCATGGCCTTTAAAGTCCTCTCCTTGCTTTGATAAAAAATATACACATCAGTTAAATGATATATGCTAAATATTATTAGTTTTATTGGGAATAATATCAACTCAATGATTTGGACAAAATTCAGCCCTGAAGTGGACTTGCATGGCATGCACCTAAGGCATATTGTCCATACATATTCAACCTCCATTGCTAAATCCATACAGATAACAAGCTGACAAAAACCAGACACGACAATGTATGAACGGGATGTTTACTTTACAAAGATGTCTGGTATCAGTAATGAATCTCTAAATCAACTCAAGAATGGAATTATTCATAATTGCATCAGCTCACGGCAGCCATTTAGAAATGTTTGAATGTTTAGAGGAATCACTCAGGTCATTAATATATAATGAAAACATGTACAGATCTAAAACTGATCCTTGGGGTATTCCTTGCTGTAATGTTTTCCAGTTAGAGGTTAGCTTGTGTGTTTCATCTTCACCAGGTTGTCCTGGTGTAGAACTTGGCTTGTGTTTCATCTTCACCAGGTCATCCTGGTGTAGAACTTGGCTTGTGTTTCATCCTGACCAGGTCATCCTGGTGCAGAACTTGGCTTGTGTTTCATCTTCACCAGGTCATCCTGGTGTAGAACTTGGCTTGTGTTTCATCCTCACCAGGTCATCCTGGTGCAGAACTTGGCTTGTGTTTCATCCTGACCAGGTCATCCTGGTGTAGAACTTTAGAACTTGGCTCGTGTTTCATCCTCACCAGGTCATCCTGGTGCAGAACTTGGCTTGTGTTTCATCCTCACCAGGTCATCCTGGTGCAGAACTTGGCTTGTGTTTCATCCTCACCAGGTCATCCTGGTGTATAACTTTAGAACTTGGCTTGTGTTTCATCCTCACCAGGTCATCCTGGTGTAGAACTTGGCTTGTGTTTCATCCTCACCAGGTCATCCTGGTGTAGAACTTGGCTTGTGTTTCATCCTCACCAGGTCATCCTGGTGTAGAACTTTAGAACTTGACTTGTGTTTCATCCTCACCAGGTCATCCTGGTGCAGAACTTGGCTTGTGTTTCATCTTCACCAGGTCATCCTGGTGTAGAACTTGGCTTGTGTTTCATCCTCACCAGGTCATCCTGGTGTAGAACTTGACTTGTGCTTCATCTTCACCAGGTCATCCTGGTGTAGAACTTGGCTTGTGTTTCATCTTCACCAGGTCATCCTGGTGTAGAACTTGGCTTGCGTGTTTCATTCTCATCAGATAATCCTAGTGTAGAGCTTAGCTTGTGCTTCATCTTCACCAGGTCATCCTGGTGTAGAACTTGGCTTGTGTTTCATCCTCACCAGGTCATCCTGGTGCAGAACTTGGCTTGTGTTTCATCCTCACCAGGTCATCCTGATGCAGAACTTGGCTTGTGTTTCATCCTCACCAGGTCATCCTGGTGTAGAACTTGGCTTGTGTTTCATCCTCACCAGGTCATCCTGGTGCAGAACTTGGCTTGTGTTTCATCCTGACCAGGTCATCCTGATGCAGAACTTGGCTTGTGTTTCATCCTCACCAGGTCATCCTGGTGTAGAACTTGGCTTGTGTTTCATCCTCACCAGGTCATCCTGGTGTAGAACTTGGCTTGTGTTTCATCCTCACCAGGTCATCCTGGTGTAGAACTTGGCTTGCGTGTTTCATTCTCATCAGATAATCCTAGTGTAGAGCTTAGCTTGTGCTTCATCTTCACCAGGTCATCCTGGTGTAGAACTTGACTTGTGCTTCATCTTCACCAGGTCATCCTGGTGTAGAACTTGGCTTGTGTGTTTCATTCTCATCAGATAATCCTAGTGTAGAGCTTGGCTTGTGCTTCATCTTCACCAGATAATCCTAGTGTAGAGCTTAGCTTGTGTGTCTCATCCACACCAATTTTGTCCTGATATAAAGATTTACCTGTTTAACTCACCATCACCAGGTCATCCTGGTATAGAACATGGCCTGTATTTCATTTTCACCAGGTCCTTCTGATGTAAAACTTGGCCTGTGTGTCTGAACTACTGCAGTCTATTACTTCTGCCAACACCAACATCAGTTACTTAGGAGATCACTGACATCCTTATCTTCTGACATCATCAACCTCCTTACTTCTGACATCCCTGACATCCATTACTTCTGACATCCCTGACATCCATTACTTCTGACATCCCTGACATCCATTACATCTGACATCCCTGACATCCATTACTTCTGACATCCCTGACATCCATTACTTCTGACATCCCTGACATCCAATACTTCTGACATCCATCACATCTGACATCCCTGACATCCATCACATCTGACATCACTAACATCCATCACATCTGACATCCATAACATCTGACATCCCTGACATCCATCACATCTGACATCCATTACTTCTGATTTCCATTACTTCTGACTTACCCGACATCTATTACTGCTGACATACCTGACATCCATCACATCTGACATCAATCACATATGACATACATCACATCTGACATCCATTACTTCTGACATCACTGACATCAGTTACATCTGACATCCATCACATCTGACATCACGGACATTCATCACATCTGACATCACTGACATCCATTACTTCTGACATCCATCACATTTGACATCAGTGACATCCATCACATCTGACATCACTGACATCCATCACATCTGTCATCACTGACATCTATCACATCTGACATCATTCACATATGACATCCATTACATCTGACTTCACGGATATCCATCACATCTGACATCACTGATATCCATCTCATCTGACATCCATTACATCTGACATCACGGACATTCATCACATCTGAAATCACTGACATTCATCACATCTGACATCCATCACATCTGACATCACGGACATCCATCACATCTGACATCACGGACATCTGACATCCCTGACATCCATTACTTGTGACATCCCTGATATCCATCACATCTGACATCCCTGACATCCATTACTTCTGACATCCCTAACATCCCTGACAGCCATCACATCTGATATCCATCACATCTGACATCCATTACATCTGACATCACGGACATCCATCACGTCTGACATCACGGACATCTGACATCACGGACATCTGACATCCCTGACATCCATTACTTGTGACATTGATTTTGTAACAACTCTGTCACATAATTACCTCTGGAGTAAGTCATTACTATGAGAAACTGAGTTTGAAGTTTCTTTAACACCAATAAAATATTGAAATCTGACATGGTTCTGATGTCTGTGACAATCCTTCAACAGAAAAAAGTTTTTGAGTTATTTAATAAACCCTTGCCCTCCAAGGATTTACATCTAGAAATTGATATATATATGTATAAAGGAGTGTATATTTCCATCAATAATGTTGTGATATATTACACCTTTTGTTATTTGTCAGGTAAGTTTTTAAAACTCTAAAAATTTGTGTGATGTATATACATTTTACAGTCTTAAAGAACTTTTGTGTTTTCTGAATAAAATTCAGAGATGAATGATATGTTGTTTTGTTTTATCACTGAACAGTTTTATTTTATCTTTTAAGTCCACCATTAGACTCAAATCACTTTACGCCCATGGTCTGACATCCTTGATCGGTCCATCGTCTGTCCATAAACAATTTTTGTTATCACTATTTCTTGAGAATTACTGGATGAATCTTTCTCATATAGCATATGTAGGTTAACATTGGTCCATAGTTGTGCCCGTTTTATTTTGGGACTGATAAATAAAACAAAATTGCCAAAAGGCGGACATCTTGAATTGTTACATTGCAAGTTTGTTATCACTATTTCTTAAGAACTATAACACAGATTTTTCTCAAATTTTTGTGTGTTTGTTTCCCTTGATCTGTAGTTGAGCCTGTTTGATTTTGGATGTGATGAGAGAAAGAAAATGGCCAACGGGTTCCCATCTTGTATTTTAACTTTGAATGTTTATTATTGGGAATTACTTGAAGGATCTTTCTTAAATTTCGTATGAAGGTTCTCCTTGGTCCATAGTTGTGCTAGTTTGATTTTGAGTCTGATCAGAAAAAACAAAATGACCCACAAGCCGTCATCTTGGATTTTGACTTCGAAAGTCTGTTATCACTATTTCTTGAGAACTATTATATAGATCTTTATCAAATTTCATGTACAGGTTCCTTAAGGTCCTTTGTTATGCCTGTTTGAGTTACGGACTGACCAGAAAAAAAAGCTGACAGGCAGCCATCTTGGATTTTGCCTAGTAAAGATTGTTATTGCTTTTTCTTAAGAAATACTGGATGGAAAGCTTTTTGTCTCTCTTTGTGCTTGTTTCACTTTGGGGCTGATCAGAAGAAACAAAATGGCTTCCAGGCAGCTATTTTTTATTTTGCA